ATTTTTTTAATCGATTGACAGCACCAATATATACAATCTCATTAAACTTCACAGCCACAAATATAAAAAACAACTTTTAATAAAAATGGGCGAGGATAAGATACTAAGAATCGGATACTTGTTAAATCATTTAAATTTTGATTCCTCTTGTCCAATTTCTGCATGCATATTTTTTTTAATAATAATTTTAACATTTGTTTGGAGATAAACCACAAAATGTGTTCAAACAAGTGGCTAAATGTGGTAAAGAACGCTGGTAACGCTAAGTGTAATTATTGCAATAAACTAATAGGTTATAAAGCAGGGTGTTGCGACTAGGGTTGTAACGGTATGAATTTTTTACGGTATGATAATCGTCTAAAACAATACCACGGTTTGACGGTTTCGCGGTATACGGTATTAAATAGTAATTCTCATAGCAAAGACCCTGAAAAGAATAAGAACACGTTTTCTGACTGAACAAAGGTTTTATTTCAACAAACTTTTGAAAGAACCATTTTAATAGAACTATAGAAGTCTTTTATAAAAATAAACTGAAAAATCTCCCATTTTAATAAATTAAATTAGAAGGAATAAACAAGCAGGGTCTTTTAAGATTAGACAAAAATAAACTTAAACTGTCCTTCCTTATAAGCAGGATAAATGGGAGACCAAAAGTGCAATACCAAGTTTATGGCTGTAAACATGTATTTAAAGCGTTGTTTTTTTCAGTCTAGGTTGTGATGAAGAAATGCAAGCATGTTGAGATTTTCAGGACTTAATCTTGACCGCTGAGGTGAGAGAATGTGTCCACTTGTACAATGAACAAATAAAAAAATAAAAAATAATGTGTCAAAGTCCAAATAAACATGGTGCAAATCCTCAGTAAAAAAATAGATATAAATATTTACTATACTATAAATAGTTACATAACGAAACTAGATTCAATATGGAACATCCTTAGGTTTTATGTGCCAGCATGGATATGGTTGTCTGTGGATATGGATTTGGATGTGGTTGTATGCAATGCAGACAAACAGCTGCACCTTCATTTGTGTCTTTTGAAAACAGCAAGAGCAGCAGTTCGTCTTTGCTGTGTCACTGTTTTGTCATGTTTCTGTGCTGCTGTGCATGCAAAAGTACTTAGTATGAGAATTATTTCATGCAAAACTTTTTTTTTTTGCGTTTTATTTAGCCGCTCAGAAATGTATGCCTATCTCTCATTCCGTGTTGTTCAAAAAGCTCAGTGTTGGTCCACAAACAAAAGTGAAACCTATGCTTATTGGTTGTGATATAGCGAGTTTGAACCAATCTGGCCATGGAGGAGGGACAATGCATCAATGTATCATGTCTGGTTTGTCCGGAGACACAGTGACGAGCGTTTCTTTGTCAAATCAGCGTAGTCAAATTTTGATGACGTAACCGCACTGATTCCGGAGCCTCTGAATGTTATGAGATGTTATGTGATACAGCACTGGAAAGCTGAGATTCTCTTCTTTATGCCAATCTTTGAATTGTATGAATCGGATCAGCGGATCAAAAGTTATTAAACATTTAAGAGCAATACTTATTTTTAGCCGCAGGCGGCTGTCTCGGTCTTTAAGGGTTAAAACCGTTGATATGCAATTGTTCATGGTATGATAATCGTGCAGGTTCAAATCGTGGTAAACCGTCATACCGGTATATTGTTACAACCCTAGTTGCGACCAAAATGACAAAGCATCTGCGGTTGGTTCACATATTTCACAAATATCAAATTAATAGAATGGCACTAGGTTCATTGTACATCCTGCAGGTACAACCAACAAGAGTTGAGCAGTTCAGTTTCTATTTAAATACCTTGAGATGAAACTAAACAGTGCATTCTCTCCTCCTTCTCATTCACAAACAGCAGGATACGCTGCTGAAGCACACAGGAGAGACGACTTTACTATCCGTCATTCATAATCTTAGCTGTTGTATTGGAGTTAAAAGAATATATTCAAGTAGAATGTTATTTTAACAGCTCCGATATACGTTTAATCTTTTTCTTTTGCAAAATTTCTGTCATTTCTCTTCTGCAAATTAATAATTTTTTTATCTGCTTGATTCTTTTAAAACCAAAAGCAGTGCCCATCAATTGGTGCTTTTCCTTAAGATACACCTTTGTAAATGTTTTATTTTTTTTTATGAGTATAGTCTTCAATGTGTTTTTAGTCATTTCATTCTATTCAAAGCAGCACTTAGATGCGAATTTATCCATGAAAACGTGACATGAGAGCGATGCATGTGTTTGGATTGTTTTTTTTTTTTACATGCGCGATCAATTCCTGATCCTTTGCACTGAGTTTTAATCAAAAGGCAGTAATTTAATTACTTTCAATGAGCTAAAATATTTGTTAAACGAATGTTATTTAAAAAATATATACATATTGAAACTGTAAAACAAAATGTGCAGTCTAATCCGCAATAAAGTAAACTAGTTATCTATTTCATTATTTAATGCATAAAATTATTTATAATGTTTTAATTAAGTTTAATTAATCTGAAACTTTTAATTACATTTTTTTTTTCCTGTAAATAATAAAAGTTGCATTAGATTGACGACAACGAACCTCAATACCTGGGTGAACAGGGCCACAATGGCTTTTTTTTCTTATTAAAACAATATGATGCAGTGTCCTCTGTCTACATGACTGGCAAAGACGTCAGAAAAAAAAACTGCTGAATCTCCACGAATATTTAGTTTCCTAATACAACAGTTTAGTGATGTTAGTAATGCATAAAATTCTCCTGAACTCACTGATGACAGTCACTTTGTGGTAGCTTTTAAGGTGGTTCATAAGGGTCTTTATGTTACCTTGGGAAGTTTGGACTGAACAGGAGCAAAGGCTATCAGATCAACATTGCACTTCTCGAAAAAACACTTGCAATCTATACACAGTTACCCTTATGCTTGTGGTGCGGTAAAATCCGTAAACTCTGCCCATTAAAATACCGGCTTGGTCATTATACTGTATAAACACGTCTAATCTATTGAATACTATTTAATAATTGATATTTAATTATTGATTGTGGGCCACAAATATCGTTATCTTGATAATAATATGATTATTCGTGCAGCCCTTTATAGAGGTGTTTTTCAAAATGTCAGCTGAAATATTTAATACCTTCAAGTTTATGCGGTATCTTTTACAGCATCGATAATATTGTCAGTTATGTAACAATTGTGGCTGATCAGACCCATGATTATTTTACTTTATTCAACAAATAATACATCATTAACCTCTTACCCAGGAAAAGACTGGATAGTCAGTGTGTAATATGATTCCAAGGTATTTAGGACATGAAAGGAGTGTGCTCAGAAATGGAAACAAAAAGATTTGGTCAAACTTTTGTACACTCCTTGCTTAAGACTGATACTTTTAATGTAAACTTTTAATCTCTCTCAGGTGTTTGGCAACAAAGTCTCTTGCTCATGTACTAATATTATGGTATTAATCTGCAATCAATGTTAAACCCTATCACAGCTAAACACGATCATAAATGGTTCGGTTCATGTTTGATGTCCCTGCAAAGCTATTTTGGTGTACTGAACAATTGTTTACATTTTATGTCAATACGTGTGCAACATATTAACATTTTAAGAAACTTAAACATTTCTACATTGTCTAACACTCAGTATGCCTATGAAAATCACCATGCTTTGGAGCCAAGACTATAAAACATGCCTTGGGGAGTTAACTTCTCATTGGTCAACTCGGCTCAGGAGGGTAGGTACAAAACCATTCCTATAAAAGCTTGTGACCTAAGGCCACCACTCAGACCAGAGTCAACCCAGAATAGAATCCAGGAGAACCCCCAGAAACTCAAGGGAGCAGGCGTGGACCCTGACAAAATGGGTTAACTGCACAGCTCAGATAGTCCAATATCTTATAACTTTCATTCTTTTCTTTCCATTGAGAGTCTGTTCAAGTTTAGTGTGCCGTGAAACCAAAAGTCAAAACGACTACAGTTTTTGCAGCCTCAACTGAAAATCCAGACTCCACCCAACTCTAAACCTCATGAGGTCAAAGAACTGACTGAATTCCTCACATCAAAAAAGGTACACAAGTAACACCTCCAGATTACCACTGAACTTGTGTAAATTAAATGTAACCCTAAAGAAACCATAGAAGGGTTCTATAAATTATTTTTTATTATTTGCTTGGTTTGGTCTTACAATATCCAAAGTTTTTCCATCATTAGACTCTTAAACTCTTATTTTGTTCCCTTTCTCTTCTCTACAACTGTAAAAATGTGTTTATGCTTAGCTTCTGTTAGATTAGTCAATAAAGTTTCATTTACATAAAGAAAAGTTTCAGTACATGTTGATGAATCTAATGTTAAAAATTCGATCTTGTTACCCTGCTTGAACATAAATGGGTTTTTATTTTTGACGGCAATAGCCGTAATTGAAATCTCGTCTTAGCAGACCATTGAATTGATTTTTAGAAACGGAATTATACTTCTTAGAAAGAAGATTAATCATTCGCAAGAATCATTTAAATCATTAGCATGTCAATTGCACAAAAACATTCAATTTGTGCCTCATTCCTGTAAATAATGCTGAAGGATGTCTAATTCCATCTTTGAATGAACTTTCATGTAAATCCCCTGCACTTGACACTTCATCAATGTCTGATGTAAACATACCATTAGGCATTTTTAAATCTATCTTTTTAAGGTCTTTATTGCGGAATTTGATATGTATATTTCTCTTGCCTGATCTCGACATGCTTTTTCCTTATAAAAGACACATTGTATCACGTGACCCAAGACAATAAGTATATTAAACTTTAATAAACTTATCTCAAACTATTTATTCCGCAGTATTAGTTAAATTCTTTGTATTTATGTCTACGAAGATTTACGTGTGCTAGTGTTAATGTGCGGCAATTATTTCTGCTGATTAATCTATGTGCAGATATATAAAAGATTCACAAAATGATCAGCTGATTGACATGGCTTTCCAATCTCTTTTGCACCTCACAGATACCTACCCTTGGCCACAGTGGACGGAGTTGGCACATGGTGTCCCCATCCTTGATTGCTTGACTGAAATTCTTCATTTCCATACACAACTCTGCCCGCTGAGCCAGGAGCCTACCTATAGAGGGCTCTGTGAAGAAATAAAGATGTGTTACTATCAGAAATCAAATGTAACAGAACTTTAAGTCATTTTAAGGTTTAAGCTAAAAAAATGTAGCTAAAATGTATTAACAAATGGTAATGGTCATCCTTTGACTAAATAAAAGCAACAAATTGTTGACAAAAATGTGAGTACAATTGGTAGCTACAGCACATATCAAGACACTCAAACACTTTAGGTCAAATATCCTAAATCAATTTTTATTTGTTACAGGCACTCAGGCAAATTTGCAACTGACAGACAACAAAAAAATACTATGTCCATGAATTTGGAATTTAGTTTAACCATGGTTAAACTAAAATGAGTGAAAGAACTCTTCAAATTTTGTCACAATATCTATTTTTATTCACATGAAATGCAATATAATTATATATACAATACTATTTAAACAATTGATTCTACCAGGGCTGGACTGGGACAAAAATTTTAAAAATTGCCCTGGCATTTTGGGACAGAGCGGCCCACTACATTCAATCAAAATGCTACCTATCTGTGCACGCCAATATGTTTACCAACTCCCATTCTATAAAAACACAAAAGCATATATGCATATGTAGGAAATAATGAGAGTTGACATTAAATTTTTTTTTTTTAATTAATTTATTATTATAATAAAATTATAATTTACACCGGAAGTCCATCTTTTGTGTGCCTGTGTTTTGAGAGAGCCTATATTAAATAATGAACATAACAAAAACTGCCTGCTGATGCACACAGTTAATGTTGATTACCAAAATAAAGATAAATAATATAAGCAATGTGTCAGAGACCCTTCAATGAAACAACAAACATAGCTTAAAGATTGTACAAACAATCAAATGAACTCAAACAATTAAAATTGCAACAAACATTTGTTTGGGCCTGAACTGCAAAACTAAATGTAAAAAAATGTATAAGTTTTGCTTAAGTTGCACACTAGTTTAGTCATGTATAAATATCATAATAACCATATTTTATAAATATTATTGTAACTATAAGCCTACATCATGCAGACGAACAAAAAACATTTCAGCCATACAGTAATTCAGAAGTCAGAGTCTTCATTTAAAACCAAAAGGTTATGGGCTCAGAAAGCTACTGTAAAGGTCTGTTGAACCGTCTTTGCTCATTTAATCAGAGAGTTTGAAGATCCAACTCTTGTGTTTGGAAAGCGTTATTGATCAGTTCCAAAAGAAAACATGGGCAAATAAGCTAGCATTGAGGCAAAAACTATATTCCTTTCAATTAAAAGATGAAGACTCGGACAGAAACATTTGACGCCCTGTCAGTTGTGGAAGATCATATTGAAGAGGAATCCATCTCAAATGCATTTTGGAGAGCATTTACACATGTCCATTTCATGATCGTATAGCCATCCGATCAGAAAAAAAAATTCATGAAGTGACCGGGTGTAAACAGCCCTATAATTACTTCGTTTGCCACACAAGTGGTTCAAGTTGGATTTGCGTTGTAAACTTTAAACCAAAGTTTTAAAAGGTTATTATTATATATATACCTCATATTTATCAATGTGTTAAAAATTGACAAAAATATTTGCAGATTCTGTTTAGCCCTGTATATGACTCAAGGTGGAAAATTATGTTTCTCAAGTCATAGACTGAGTCAGATTGTGTGACCGCACTGAGCAAGCAGGCAACATATTTGTTTTCTGTCAAACTGCCTGAACGGCATATTGTGAGAAAAGAAAACATGCAGCCCACAAAATGACTACACAGCAACCATGTGCAAGACCATATTATTATTACATAATATTTCAATTTACAAATGCTGAAGGAATTC